TACTATCCACCTGAAGTCTGGACATCGCATCGCTGCAGCTCTCCGACGCCTCATCACGGACGCGTGACATCCTCGTGAACTCTGTTAAACAAAATTTTCACCAAATCGATTAATCTTGTAGGCATCGGGCGCGACTTTCCACATTCGTCTCGTTCATCTGTAATCGGTACCAATGAAAACATATTGTCTGCAGTTACGTACCCTGCAATTACGAGATTTTTTTTTTTTTTTTTTTTTTTGCAAGACTATCGAGGAGGATTCTTTCACTACGAAATTCTTTCATGACTTATTTGCCTTTAATTTGTCATTGTTATGGTAATGGTGATAAAAGTTACGTTAATATAATGAATGGCGTATTTAACGAGCTCGCTTGTATATAATTGTATGAAGACATTGTAAAATCCGACTTGTTGGTTATTGAATTATTTTAGAGTGGATAGGTATTTTTCTTGATATATTCGTATTTATATTGGTTTTTTACTCGATATACAAAACGATTGCGATCGACACTCCTGAACACATATGTATAGCGATACTAGTAGGTGCGTGTCAATCATGACCCATTATTTATATAATTATTTTAAATTAATACAAAACCATAAAGACAAATAAAATACTTAAACGAGAATTATTTGCACACTGTCTATTATTTAATTATATGCTCATAGTATCTAAGTTACAAGGGTAATCTAGCAAAAAAGGAACTATTAAATCCGAATTGCGAAGCACCCGATAACATTTTTACTGCACTTAAACAAATCGTGACATTTAATTTTCTAAATATCATATATTATCTAATATTTAAAAAAAAAAGAGAGAAAAAAAAGAATGTAAATATTTTTAAAAAGTTTACCAAAAGCAATTTAACTATAATATAATTAAGAGCTCTGAAGAATTTTTACCAAAGTAAAATAAGAATTCTTCGAGCATCAATTTTGGATTCTACAGTGTAAAAGAACATAAACGGTAACAATTCAAATAAACTTATCGTTAAAATCATATCGTAAAAAAAAAAGATTAAGCCCCTATTAAATTAATATAAAGTAATCCTTACTTTAAATATGCACGTTTTATTATATATATATATTTTTTTTTTTTAATAATAAAAATATTTAATTTAGCGCCATTTCGTTACACTAGGACACTTTTCAAGTTCAATAAAGTAATTGCTTTGATTCCTCCACAAGTCTTGTATACAAATACAAGTAATGCAATTATTAAGTTTCAATACTAATAAAGACGTTGATTAATATTAACATAATCATTGAATAAAAGCATATACTATATAGATAATGTAATAATTAACATTTTGAAAATTCATCTTATGCTTATGGTAGTACCCATAAGCTACTTTTTAGACTGAAATCAAAATAAGATTGTTTTATTTGACAATCATCGGACAATCCGATTAGTCTCTATATTTTACACTTTTCAAAATGAATTTAACTATTATTATCGCAACTGCTTAAATTAAATAATATTTATTATCCATTTAAATCAATCGGTCATGCATTAGAATTTTACATGTAAATAGTCGAGAATAAATATTGCAAAGATATATTTAATTTATGAATTTCATCTATTAATAATAATAATTTATAAATATTGGGCTGTGCAAAAGAATATTAAACATTATTTAACAAACGAAGGTTCAACGATAATGTATAAAGCGACATTACTTCCGTACTAGCACTTTGTATACACGTGGAGAAGAAGAAGAAAAATTATTCCTCAAATATTTTATCTCTAATAGCAATAATAACAAAAGCGTCGACAACAGTGTAATTTTTAATTTATAATTTCGAAAAGAATACACAAGTATAGAGGTTTTATCGTGCATAAATTTACATTCATATCTTGAGCAAAGCTAAAATTAATTAGCTGATAATCAGTTAAAATCAGGGTATTTAAGTATTAACAAATATCAACTCTTATGTAAAAAAAAAAAAAAAAAAAAAAAAAACATTTATGTAAAATTAGTATGTTGAGTTGTGAGTTGACGGGACCCGCCCGCCCCCCTCCCCCAAGCATATAATAAATTTGTTATTAAAGGCTTGTCTGACCTTCTAACCTAAGATTGGTAATTGATAATGAACGTACTTTGTTTGCCTTAACTCATTCCCTTGCATCAGAATAATCTACATGCATGTCTGTACGCGAAAATTTCGCAATAGAATATTTCATCATTATTCATTTTTATATATTCCGTCCTCTTCCTTTAAAATCTCTCCCCTTACAAAATATGAGTATTATTTGTACGTACAGTGATAATATCCCTCATTCTTTTCAGTAAGTGGGCATCTATCATTCAATTATACGTATTTAAAGACTACATACCTACTTATTTGATGATTCTGTATGGTTGAAAATAACTTATTTGACCATACTAAGAATTAGTTATCGTAATTTGAATAAAACTATTTTTCAATTAAAAATAACCGAATTTTCAAACATTGTATACAGTTTATCATTAATAATGTAGTCAATTATTTTAATAATTTGTCAATCGCAGTTGCTGGATAAATACAATTATAGTTAGCTCGATTTCTAAAATACCACAACGGATTAGTACGAACGAATATATAAAAATAATAGCTACATTATAAACTGAAAATTATTTTTTTCTATTAAAATATAATATAGTTGCACCAGGTATATGGTAAACGGGGGTTCATTTACCAAGATAAATAACCAAATATGTAAAAGAAAAATAAAAACTAAAAGTTCCAAATAATTCAGTTAATATTATTAAATTTAAGTTATTAACGTATCGAGACATGATTTTGGATAATGGCAGACGATCGTTTTAATTAAAATAATTATTCGAGATACTTGTCAACATACGAATTAAATTACCATCAAGATCATGATATATCAAAGTTGATTCCACTCGATCAAACCGTTCCATTATCCATGGGTTATATTTTCATTGGTTAAAGTACTAAATATCATAGCAAGGTTGTAATGGTTTCATGTTTCTCGCGTTTCATACTACTTGATTCTCAGAATATCAATACGTAGACGACGTTTCTGTTAACATACATATGTTTTGAATGTCAAAATTTAAAAAATGGTATATGGCTCAGTCTTATGATGAAAATTTTCTTTCTTACGAGTGTTTCCCGACTGCCAATTTTATAAGCAATGAATATGCGAGCAATATTAAGGAAAAATTAAGAAGGTATACTTTTATACTTTAAAAATATGCCTACCAAGATTATTGAATTAATTCGTATTTAGTTGATACATTTATTGAAAGAAGAAAAAAAACACATAATAAAAAATAACCTAGTGAGATCGAAATTTTACCTCCTATTTGTGAGACAATTAAATTGTAATTTTAGAATGAAATATTTGGTTTAAAAAAACAAAACAACATTTACAATGATTAATGCAATATAATGTTCGTTAAATAAAACTTTACTATAAAATCTATTTAGCTGGTGTTATTAATTCATTTGAAAGGCGATTTCAAGGATGTAAAATATATTTATATTTTATTAAGATATGCTCCAATGTATCAGCCAAACATTAAATAATATTCGATAAATGAGCATCTTTCGATAATAATGATGAAATAATATTGACGCTAAAGTTGTATAATTACTTTAAAAATTATGAAAAAATTACAATGTCAGAAGCTTTTATTTTATTGCACGTAAGAATAAAAATACAAATGCCTTATAATGAACATATTAGTATAATATTACGTATTAATTTCTGCACGTTCGTTATAGAAATAATTTCGATTGATATTATCGAAGCAAATAAAAAAGGTTTCTTATGATGCATTGATAGAATAACCCATGTATTTTTCATTACGTACACTCCCAAAGTGGCAGATTATAAAAATCGGGCAGCCTTGACAAGAAACGAAGGCTCGCCTCGTCTTCTCCTCGAATCTTCGAGTATGCCACAATGGTATACACACCAAATCTACTCTATGAGCACTCCTCTTTCATGTCAATGAGCCGAAAATCAAAATACCCATTTCAAATAAGCGTATTATCCTCCTCCATGACTATGATCATCGATCGTCAGCTCCACGACCGGGTATGTCACGCACGAGCTGGAGCTCGGGAATAGGTTGAAGAGCTTCAGCCAAGGCAAGAAGCTTTGAAACGGATCTAAGAGAAAAGGTAAGAGAGGGAGGGAGAAACAGTGAGTGGAGAGCCCGAGGCGCGTAGGTGAGGAGCCGTGGTTCTTCCGCAGGACCATTGGCCGTGGACAGCGTCGAATAGGCACTACACGCGAGATAAAATGACGCGATACCGGTCGGGACGCAGGTCGCGGCTAGGACTCACCACGTGTTCTCGGGCGACGAGGCTGCCAAGGCGTCCCACCCAGGCAATTCAGCTTCGTGCGTTCCTCGTCCTCGACGGGCGGGTGGGGTGTGGTTGGGAGGGGACAAGTACTACTGCCGCTGGTGGGGCCGAAGAACCGATCGGAACTCGCAATATCGGCGTCCGGCTTCGAAGCGCTCGGGCTCTCCTGTACGAATGATGACTAGACCAATGGAAAGGCACTTTTGTGCCGAGAGCCGCAGCCTCGAGAAGAGGGGCACACGGGCCCATGTCTGCGCCTGCGCCCCTGTCTCTCTCTCTCTCTCTCTCTCTCTCTCTCTCTGTATGACTCCTCTCTTCCTCGCATCAGTCGTCATCGTGAGTAAGGATACAGGGGTTCTGGGGTTCTTTCTCCTGCTGTGCACCGTTGTGAGATGCTGTGTGCGACCAAGGATCTCCGATTTTTGTCTAATTGTTAAAACGCAAGCTCCAACGATCTTGTCCACCTTCCCCCCACGTCGAATATACGAGAGAGAGAGAGAGAGAGAAACGATGCTTGTTTTGCCAATTTCAAGCGACACTCTCGTTCAAATTCCTTACTCACCGCCCTAATATTGGCCATTGTCTCGTTGCTATTTTACGATCGCTTTTACCATTACTTTTTCATCAGGCATCTGTAATCT